TAAAACGTAGCACGAATTAAGGTATAAGTGCGACTTAGAATACTGAATGTCCAAATCGTTTTTCATGAATTTTATTGATTTTATCGAAGGGAGTACATTGTATGGAATTTTATTGTAATAAATGCTAATAAATATCAGCAAAGACAACACGAGATATTATAACCATAAATATTTTTTACTGTATTCGTAGCTCCTGCGATTTATACCTGTTTTTATCTTACGTGGTACGACTTACGCAACTTTGCCCTAACGAACAAAAACGTCTTATGGGTGATAAATTTAACTTTCAGATAAAAATTAATACGTATCCGAATTTTCTTCTCTTGGCAATATTATTATTACTAGGCTTTTGTGTATGTTTTGATAAATAATTAGTAAGCGAAATTTAAGATTTATTAGTCCAAAGGGATTTGAGTCCCGAAGGACTATTACTTTCGTTTTGGCATTTTGCGTCGGACTCCTATAAATATCTGTTCACTTTTCAAACTGTTGCCACAAAGTCCTGCATTATATTTGAAGAAATTAAATAATGAAAAATCTGCATAAATGTATGTATGTTTCTCGCATAGTGATAAAACAACGGCACCTAGAGCCATCCAATTTTGAATAACGTAACCCTCCACCGAATATGGGCATCTCAAAGCCCTAATTCGGAATTTGTTTTATTATCTCTTTCATATTTTGTCAGACATTAAAATTTTTTTGATTAACAAACTCAACGATTTCAAAGCGAAGAATGGCAACACTGTACGGGGAAAATATTGTCTCCAGGGCGCGAGACTGTGTATTGGAATTCTAAAGATATGCTAAATTTTAAAATCATTTTGCGATATTGCTGTTGAATTAATTTTTATGGTTTAAGTGAAAAGAGCATTATATTTAATAAATTAAGGTAACACACGAAACGTTAAAAAATATCCTTTTGAGGAGTAATGTAAAATCGGAAAACTTTCAGATTTTTTTTCATTTTAAAATTTTTATTTGTTTTTTTCACTGCCACGTGTAGAGAGAAATCGCTAGATATTATACATCTTTAAGAGCAGTTTTAGCATGTCCTTTAATGATATAACGTTGCCTAACGACACCTGAAACGACGACAAAGATGTCGTCCTTTAACGACATCTTTTAGAGCGGTTTTAGCATATCCTTTTCCTCTTTGTTCCTTTTTTTTTTTTCTTTGTAGAGTTAAAGTGTACTGAATCCTTGTTAAAAGTGAGTTCAGATCTTCAATAAACTCAGTGACTCGAAAAGCATAAGTTCCGAGAAACTGGATTAACTACGGGTGGTTTTTAATGACTTCTAACTGCATCACAAGCAGAAGCCAGTTTCATTTTTTTACATATCCTCATACAGTCAGCCCCTCGAAGGTAGACTCAGTAATATATATAAGTGAAGTAGTCGGATAGTAATAGTTATATACTATATAAGGGAATTAGTTGGAAGTGAAGTAGTAGTTGCGAAAGTAGTCGGGATCTTGAAAGCTTCCCGACTACTTTCGTAACATTAATGCTAAGTAGATCACTACAACATTAAAATTTCTGCTCATTTGCCAATGCATCAAAACACAGATTCGTCCAGTAATTAAAAAAAATGCTTACAAAGGAATAAAATATTTTAAATAATTTTCCAGGCATGCATATGCACTTTGTTCGTAACCATATTAAAAAGTCTCAATGCTTTTGTAAGGTAATGCTATTAAATTGAAGCTTGATTTGCTCTTAAATTGCTAGAAAATTTCAAATTTGTTCTTTTATTGCAAACAAAATGATGGAATTCATGGATATTCGAAAAGAAAATGAAAAGCATAAACCTAATTAATTAAAATAATCATTTAAAGAATCTGAACATGAAACAACAGAATCTGAAATAATCATCAAAGAATCTGAACATTGCTGTCAACGAGTGGACAGACACGTGGATGGTATGGATTTCTGTTGAATGGATTGATGGGTAGTGCTAAATCTGAAAACTTTAGTATTTCTGGATATGATCGATGTTCTGGTAAAGAGACGACTAAAATATTTATCTATCATAAAATGACGCAAGAATGGAGAAAATTGATAACTGTTCTGGAAAACAAGATAGATCAATCATATTTCGTACTCCTGATGGTGCTATTTTTGCACTGTTCTCTGTGCTATATGGAGTTTAACATCCTCTTCTAATGACAAGGGGCAATATTTATTGACCAGAGCTGGTTTCTTAATGCACAGTTTCTGTTCCAGTTACTCTACACTGTAGAATCCCTATATTCTGTTTCTGTTTGAACTACCAGAACAAAAGAGTGGGGAATGATACGGAGAACAAAGCCATCCTAATGTGAGTCTTAATTTCTTTGAACTCACTTCTTTATTAGGAGTATCTTATAGAGCTTCTTCTATCCTCATGCCCTGAGTCAAACAAATTATAATGAAGAAGACATTTCTGCTTGCTCAATAGAACAGAGCCTATTTCTCGAGGAGTGTAATTAAAGCAAGAGTATATATTTTACTTCAAAATTACTTATTATCTGTTATTCGTTGAGTTTATCAATAAGCAGCAAGTCTCTTGAAAGTAAAATATTTCATGATCTGAGTAACTCATTTCTTCAATTGATAGTTAAACCAGTTGCGTATATCTTTACATACAATAAAAGAGTCTGTGTGTCTTTCGCTCGTGCTGCGGGTAAGCCAATAAACCCAGGGCTACGAAATTTGGTATATAGGTGCATCTAGACAAGAGCCAGTGCAACTCGAAGCGAATTTTTCAGAATTCGAATCAGATTTTTTTTTTTTTTTTTTTTTATCTTTTCGATTTTATCACATCATTTTGAATAGTTTCATATTTTTAGAAATATAGTTTTGGCAAAGGTTTTTATTCAATTGTATACTGGACTGCTGACTGTTGAAAATCAGCTTTGTTGCTACTTGGAAAAATGAGGGCTATAATTCTGTGCAGTTTTTAAATTTAATGTTTCTCTTGGCTATTGGACGTTCATTGAGAGAAGGCAATGGGAAATTGATTAATTAATTTATTAGGATAATTAATATTTGTATTAAGGGATATTGCTTATTTCATTGTAATATTCTTATAAGTAATAATTTTTAGTCCAAAGGGGCTTTGTCTCTGAAGGACTAGTGTTTTCGTTTCGCGTTTTTGCGTTGAATCACTATAAATGTCCGTTTCACTTTTCAAACTGTTGCCACCAGATGTTAGATTCCTGCATTATATTTGAAGAATATAAAGAATGAAAAAATCTTCATAAATGTATGTATATTTCTCGCATTGTGATAAAAAACGGTACATAGAGCCATCGAATTTTGAAGAATTGGGCATGTGGAAGACCAAATTTGAAATTTGGAATTTATTTTATTTGCGATTTCATATTTTGCAAAACCTTAACGAATTTTTGATTCAAAAGACCTTAGGGATTTCCAAAGCGAGCAGTGGCAACACTTGTACAGAAAGGGGGGTAAACACTTTTTATCTCCAGGGGCGCGGAGACTCTGTATCGGAAATTCTAAAGCATAGGCTCAGTTTAAAATTATTTTGCGACATTGCTCTTAATTAAGCAACAATCTTAAGCTGAAGTTTTATGGTTTAAGTGCAAAGAACATGATATTTAATAAATAAAGGTAACACACAAAACGTTAAAAGAACGCCCCTTTGAACGTAATTTAAAATCTGAAACCTTTCAGTTTTTTTTAAATTTGTGGTGTGTGTGTGTTTCCCCCCCCTTTTTTTTTTTGATGAAGTAGTTATGCAGAGTAAAATTCTAAGCAGCTTTTAAATTTAACATTTGGTGTTTCCTTCAGGCATTTTTCCGTTACATTAAAAGCCAGACGAAGGCTGGCAACGTAGCTGCTAGTAAAGAACAAAACGGTCATTATTGCATATGAAGAAAGTTAAGTTTTAATATACATCCGCCTCGCTTAAATATTATATATTACAACTTTTTAAAAGCTGGATTTATAAATCTCTTATTTTTCAGGTTTTATTTTAGTAAATTAATTTATTACTATGTAATTCCTTGTAATTCATAAATTGTAAATTCATTTAGTAAATTAAATTATCATTATGTAATTCAACAAAAATATTATTATTTAACTTATTATCATGTAATTCCTCCATTCTATGAAAATATTATTCTTTGAGATTAAATTTCTTTAAGATTCTTTTTAATTCTTTGAGATTGAATTATTCTTTGAGAATAAATAGGTTAGAGCAACCTCTCAATTATGCAGCTATGACATGTAATTTTTATTTTACTTGTTTAATAGGTAATTAACAATTTAATTTTAAATAGTCTCTAAATAAAATTTAGTTATCCCGCAAAGATCTCAAGACCTATTAGTACTTATAATTTTCTAGAATCTGAAGTGTTTTTATATATTATTTGTTTTGCACTCTATTGAAAAGTCTAAATTATGTTACAGACAAAGCATGTTATTCCAAAGAAAAATATGAAAAAAAATGGAATAAAGCTAATAAATATGAATAAAAAACATTTTTAAACTTCATTTATGATAATATGTGATATTCTTAACTGTTAATGGTTTTAACATATTCACATTATATTTCATTAAAAGTTATTTCTGCTTATAATTAATTAATATTAAAACAAGCAGAATGAAAAATTGCAATCATTCTCAGAACACACCGTGTAAAAAATCAGTTTCCAACTATATTCTGAAAAGTGCAACTATGTTCATGGTCGTGTAATACATGGTTATTAATAAAATGCATTGTACAAAATAAAGAAAAAGTTGAACGATATTGTTGAAATGTATAACAGTGAGGTTGAAGTTTTGCAAAGTAAATATGAATTGAATTTTAATCTATTATCTAGTTCGTTGATACAAAAAGAGATGACATTATTTCTTAAGCACTGTCTGGTAATTAGTCCAAATATTTTCTTCTATTCATTTTCTAGAATGAATGAACATGCATTTATTATGTCATGGCTTGTAAAATTATAATATTCATATGATGAGATGTAGCTGATTAAAAAAGAATAAATATTACATAAAAATAGCAGCAGTTTTATTTTCATTTGAATACAATATTTCAAAGCAAAAGAAATACGCTACATTTGGAACAATATGGTGTTGACTAGACACGAAGGATATATTACTATTAAATCAGAAAATACCAGAAAAAATATAAGAATAGATATTTATCATTTTGATTTTACAAAACCCTGCCTTAGTTGAGTATCACCGACGAAACCCGAATATTACAATATTTACAATTTGTAAAAGTATACATATACATAATTGCATTCTTCTTTTTTCAGAACAGTTTGCTCATCGTATTTTTAATTTCATATTTTGCATTTTTCAACAAACTTATTTAACATAGATTTCATATACTTAACAAAATATGTATTTAGTTTATGCACCAGGTTGCTGCATTTTCTCTATATATTACTAATTCAAAACTAGTGTCAAAATGCCAGTTCATATAAATGGTCATAAATTATTTCAACAGTCAATAAAACTGCACTACTATATTTTGATTATTATCTATAAAGAAGATAGTAGTAGTAAAAGTATAAAAGTAATGTATAAAAATAGATGGCACATACATTTGTACACCTCTCATTTTGATTTAGCAATATTGCTTTACAAAATTGCTTTTAGAAACCAATCGTCGTAGAATTTAAGAGCTTCTACGTCAGTTAATTTCTTAAAAGTGGCATTAAATATGCCGAAATGTGATGAAATTGATGAAAAGTTAATGAGTTTGGTGAAGAACCATTTTAAAGATTATTATTTACCATGAATAAAAAAACACATGTTTTTACAAATATTGTGCATAAATGCAAACAATCTTCATATAAATGTATGTTAAGAAGACATTGAAAAAAAAATCTACAAGAGTTACATAAATCTGCATGGTTTTATGTACAAAGGAATCAGGATTTTAGGCACGCTTCAGAAATCCATACTTACAGTAAACTTTCTAATACTGATGCTTTACATAAATTGCTTTCGGTTCTGAAGAACCATAAAATAATCAACAAAACTGAGTTCTATAGTAGCAAAAATACATTCGTACAAATTTGAGGCCAGTATTACTAGATATAAATAATGGTTATATGAGTCTTTTAATGTATCATGTGCGCAAAATAATAGACATCTTTCCCATTAATAATGTAGCATTAGTGAATTATAAATCAAAATTAGCAATGATTTTATGAACTGAGAATATGAAATATTTAATTAAAGTATACGATTTCGAATATATTACTTCTACATAACTGCATTGTTTCATTTTTTAAACATTCCATACGAGCTTTCTACATAACTTAATCATAAGTACTGTTTTATTGCGCAGTATTTGGAAAATATAATATCAAAATATAGTATTTAGAAAATATAATACACACAGGTAAATATATACAGTTTAGTTAATTTGCGTAAACACATTATTCTTAATAATCCTTTTTATTGAGCTTACATTTACAATTATTAACGATTTGTTCATTTGTATATTTGTTTGTTCCACAGGAGAAATAAAATATTAAAATTTATAATAAAATAGATTAAAACTATGAAAGATTTTTGCCTTGGAAAAACATTCTGTGAATTAAATTATCATGTAAAAATTTTAGGATAATCTTTCATAATATTAAATAATATTTTTTTTAATTTATATACCCTTTATGCATAAAAATTTTCCATGTAAAGGATGAGAATGTTTTCTCTGATAAATCTGTGAAAATCTTTAAGGAAGAATGTAACTATACGCCATTTCTTTTACTGCTTTTAGGGACATACATGCAGTAGCACTGTCAGTATTAATATACTCTGAAATGTTATCATCAATATTCGCCAAAGGTGCCACGTATTATTTATTTAGCATGCAATTCTTTAAAAAAGAACTCAAAGCAAAATTTGCATAATTATGTGCTTCACGTATTAGTTTTAAGAATTCAGTCTAAAATACATGTATATGCGTTTATTACCATTTTGCCTACATGTTAAAGAGAAGAAAAATAAATAAATTTTAGCTTTTCTCTTTTAATATTTTAAATACGTTTAAGTAAGAAAGCGAAGAAATTTAAACTAAAATTCATTGATAAATATGAAAAGAGAGATGGAATGTTAATTAAAAGTTTTCGAACTCTTCAGAAAGAAGTAATTGTTAAAGTCTTTACAGTGAATAACAGTTAGATGGTTTATCTTTCTATGTTATTTTCTTGCATTATTGTGCTTTACATTTTCGTAAAGCAAAATTTAAAAACTTAATCAATAATAAAAGTCATTTTACATCCTGTAATGCGAATTTTACTTTACAGAAATCTATACAGTAATCATCATTTAAACATATTACAGACACAAAATATTTTTAAATACATAATAATTGCGTTTAAGGTAGCAAAAAATTGCTATTTTTTGATTTTTTGATGGTGTAAAATTATGTTCAATAACAAAAGCTTATATTTGCAGCACATACCGAAATATTTCATCAATTTCGAAAACGTCACTGTCACTAGCATCTTACTGTTACATTTTACCCATAATTAATATTAATATTATGACAAAATATTATCACCATTTGTTTACAGTCTCCGGAATTAATTTTTAATTCCCACAAATTTATATTTTATTAGCTGCTGATGACGATCTTCTTTGAGACTTGAACTTTGAAGCACTCTTATTGAAATTAATTCATTTCAATGAAATCGTGTCTCATAAGTCCGAGACATACCAATTGTAACAATTAATTTTCATGACATGTTAAAATCAACATAAAATTAAATTGAGCACTTGATGATTTCATTAAAAGATAAAAAGGTTTTATTACCTTTTTACTATAACAAGTATACTTTTAATACTAATTTGCTACATATCACGAGTAAACTCTTAATCTCATCTAGCTCAATAGTCCATAAGCCCGTCTTCCAGAATGTGTCCCCGTATGTAACATGGGTAAAATGAAAGTTATACAACTATGCCTTGGTTAATGACTATCTAAATGACACTATCATATTTTTTGCAAATTTGAAATTAAATTTATGTCGTCATTGTAGACCGGAGTCTGCCAGTGCTGCAGATTTAACCTCAAAGACCAGAAAAACCATGCACGTTTTTATACAGAACGACAGACGAATGACAATGAACGTTCAAATAAATGTCTATAATTACAACCTTAGATTGAAGAAATGTCTTTAAATGTTGCTGAATAATCTTTCATGACAGGTTTCTGTCAGTCAGTAATTATAATATTGGAAAATGTGTATCGAAGCACGAGTCAAGCGATCGACAGCCTTGAGTTTTAATGAAGCTTATTCATAAAGGTAAATGTAAAGTTATACAGTATTTAATGATTATATAAAAAGCTGAAATCGATGGACCTGTAGAAGCAGGGAATGCTTTTTAAAGTCATCTATCTGCAATAATCAAGAATAATTTTTAATTGATATATCAGAAAGAACCAACAATACTCTTTGAAAATGACTTATATAACAATAATATGTAATCTTACAGAACGCACACTTCTCGTAATAGTATGCATGGTATTATTACATACCAGTAGCTATACTTATTATGACAATCGCATTGATTAATTTTCGGTAATAATAAATAAATAACTGTGAATTTCATTTTAACAGATGTTTAAGTATCGTTAATTTTTAGTACAGCAGAAAATATAATTTTAATTCCCCCCCCTGTCAACGATGATGAAGATGCTTATAGTTGAGTTTGTCAATTCTGGAACTCAAATATGTCAGTTCAAGACTTCGAGAACACTCTTAAGCCTACTTCTTAAATAATATGACTACTTATGTATATAACCATTTTTATTTTCATTCTTTAACTGACTGAATTATCATAGAAATTTTTAAAATACTACATTTATCATTGGAGATAAATTAGAGGTAGAATATTTATAGAATAAATTCATTATAATTTTCTTTCAGATTTCTTTCCTGTGACGTTATAATAATGACTGCATAGTGTGGACGTTTTAATGCTTCGTAAACTTGACTAAGTAGACGTTTAAATGCTTAGCAAGTGAGCTTTCGCTTTTGTCCCTATTTACTTGAACTATCTACACAAGTCTAAGACACGATGTTAAAATTAAATTCTTATTTAATGAAAAATAACTTAATTCATTATTTCAGTGACAAACGTTTACTCAAAACAAAAGATCACAGACGTAAAAAACTATATCACATTTCGCGTGTCGTTTACATAAAATAAAATTTAATTAATTAAATGAAATTTTAAAATTCAATTTCATATTAATTAAAAGTCATTAAAATCCAATTTTTATTAAATTAATTGAAATTTTTTTAAAAGCAAGCATAAATTTATTGTACTATGGATCAGTTTTGTTGTACAATAGATGGGATATCAAGTAAATAAATAAGAATTTTGTGACACATTATTAATTTGAACTTCAAAGTTTCGGATATTTTTATAAGCTACATATTAGTTAAGAACAAAAAAAAAAAAAAAAAAAAAAAAAATATGACTTAGTAAGATAAATATTTAAATCAGGTAATTTAACTTAGTTTTTCAAACTAGTGAAATAAAACATATTTTTAATAGATTTGTTCCAAAAATGATGCATTTTTATTAACACCCTATCTTTCACTTTTATTTATAACATACGTACTATAAGTTCAGAAATAAATTTGACTATATATATTCAACATAAATGAAATTACAGTGTATACTGTACTTCATTTACGCGTTTAACTAGCAACATATCATAAAACTGAAAAAAAATATTTATCATATAACAGTGAAAAAAAAACTAATTGATTTAGTATTTGATTTTCGGATTTTTTACATAACTTACATGACAATTTACTTATAAAATAGCACAATGTTGAAAAGTGCGCAAAAATTGAAACATATTTTTGAATTAAAAATTAATTACTTTGTGTCGTGTACAAAACAAGATAAAACTAAATACTTTTCGTACAGGTAAGGTGCAATAAAATAACTTCGCGCATGCAGTGCCTATTTTGCAGCAATATTTAATAAATATAAAAGCCTCTTTTTAATATTATGATTCGTTATTGTAATTTAAGCGAGTTAATTAATTACAGTAACACTTATTGTAAGTGTATATTTTCAATACAAAATTAAAATAAAAATAATTATAAAAGTGGTACATAAACATTTTAGTATGTATATACATAATTTACTTGCCTAGTTGTATATATTTTGAGCAGGACTGTAATTTAACTATTTATAAGTAGTTTAATTACAGTCCTGCTTAATGATTTTAATCCATTTCATTTCATATTTTTGATCCGTTTTTAATTAACTTCGAAATGAATGATATATCGACAGCAGAAAGAGAAAAAAATAAGCTTTGCATTTCACTTATTACAACGATTACTTCAATGGCTTAAAAATTTCTTCTGTTGTTCATTTTAATGTCAGAAGCTCAAATTTAAACAGCTTACTTAAATTTGAATTATTTAAGATATAATCCTAATTCTTAAATATTACAGTTTTAAACAGAATCAAAACAGCTCAAAACTTCAAATTTAAACAATTCTTCAAAAACTACATAGGAGAATAAGGCTTCAGTAGTAACTAATTCAAATACAGTAAGCTCCATAATACAGTCTGAAATGTCTGCATTAATAACTATAATAAGTGCAATTTCAAAAGCTTTTCAACATAATTTATCAGTCTGCCGAATAGTCTCTCGTTGTACTTTTTATTATAAAATTTCCGGAAAAGAAACCTTGCGCAACAGAATAATAAACTGTTTATCTTGAGCTTTTCAAGGCAGTGTCTTATGCAGAAGAATTGCTGTATTTGCCTCTGTAAGTTGTCATGTGCAGAGAATGCAATCTCGGTCATGTAAGGCACTTTTAGGCACATTGTTCTAGGCAAATGTGACAACAAGATATACCATGAATGTTCTTTTATTTCTATGAGGACAGTAGTTAATTTCTCTGAGAGAGAACTGGCATGCCTTCCAAGAACCTCAGAGCTGACAATGATGGTGGCAGAAGACCTCCCGCTTCTCTGTATCTCATCATCACCTGATCTAACATCCCTAACAACATAGGAGGAGGTGGTGGTGGAGATGTCGTGGAAGGTAGTTCTGTTGAAGAGTTAACTTCTCTTTTGATGGAACCATGGTGTTCACTTGATGATTCGGTGACTGGTGATTTTGCCACATCGCGCTCATTTTCATCACTTGGACTAGCAAATTTCTTAGTCAAAGCTATTCCATTGCTGTTCTGGTAACAAGGCTGACAATAACCATGAGTCAATTTTTTAGCAGCAGCTGGGAAGACCTTACCACACTGAGTACATTTTTCATGATGTTCACCTATGACAAAAGAGAAAAAAAAAAGCATATTCTAAATGTATTTTTATAAATTTACTTGAAAAACATTGAAACTGATTAATTAAAACTATATGCATTAAATTAAAATGTCATTTCAGTGATTTAAAATGAAGGTTTTACAGTCTAAACAGGTATGTTAAGTGCAGACATTATTAGTTGGGATTTCCCCCCCCCTCTCTTTTCTTATTATTGTCCAAATTAGTTGTTGGTTATATACCAAACTGAAAGTTAATTTCAATTGCTTTATTAAGCAAATTTAGAAATGAAACATGATATAAAATCACTAAGATCCTAAACACTCGAAGAAAATAATTATCAAAATAAGAATGTTCCTAATATTTTATGTTTTTACCTACCATATGAAATTAGCAATTTTAACCCTAGAAATAAAATGGCTCCTTTTATTATTTGGACAGAAATTTAATTAAATGGCCTTTCCCTTTCTGAGGGGGATGATAATTTTTTTTACTGTTTTTTTTACTGTTACTTTAATAGACCTTTAGAACTACCTTTAGAACGGTCTTACTACCTTCAGAACAATTATTCCTTTAGAACAATTTCCATACCATGAGTAATAATTTTGTTTTCAGATAAAGTAAGAATGATTTTTTTAAAAGCCAATACATGTCTAATTTAAATTTCATTAAATGTTTGTAAATATTGATGATTTAGTATCATATTTGATGATTTTAAAACTGTCTTACTAACCACATAACAGCTAATCTACATAAGAGCCGAAAACTCAAGTGGCATTTCGGTAAACTTTTTAATGTCTCCATCTTTAACATGCCAAAATGTTAAGAGAGTTAAACGTGTGATTAATATTAGATACAAAGCTTGTAACAAAGCATGTTGAACAAAAATAGCACGGTTACTTAACACAGACAACTGTGTCCAGAGATAACTATGATTCTTAACTATTCTCAACTAGATTCTTAATTATAAAGTCTTAACTTAGTCAAGATAAATTTTAAATAAAATCTGGCACATATTTGCTGAGTTAGCTTTTAACGAAACCATGGCAATCTGAAGGTGATACTGATACAAGCAAATGCAAGAAAAAGAAGGCAGAATGAGCATCAATTCCAACTTACTTATTGCTTACAATGGGTTTGTTAATATATTTTGAAATAGCTAGTTTCCATCTGATAGTCATAATCTTCAAAGTTTCGTGACAAAAAGTCATTACTGGGCACAGTTTTCAAACTTCGTGACAGAAAACATTAAAGACTTCAGTAATAATAAGTATTCTAAGAAACTATTGCCATTTTACTGCTCATTTACTTTTAAATTACCACTTGACTCCGCTTTATTCAGACGAGCTTCTCTTCAAGTGTTTTATAATTTTAATGGAACAAAAAGTAAACATGCCAGACAAATGAGACATGATTAAAAAATAATTAGTAAAAAATATCGAATTTATGAATGATTTTTGCATCTCAAATTTATAGATAGTTGTAGCGTTAGGGATACTGATTTCGTGTTTTATACGAAGTAAAATTTTTAATATGAAAAATATATATCAAGATACACTAAAGCGATAGCATCGTATACACGTGTAGCGTAGAAAAAGTGAGAAAAAATTGGACCAATGTCCCGGGCGAGTTTTTCAGAATGTGGATCAAGGTTGGTTATGGCTATCTGTGCCAGCTTGTATCAATGTAATTGTTTTTTTTTTTTTTTTTTTTTTTCTTCTATGTAGTTTAAGGAGCGCCTACAAGATGCCTGTTTGATGATTTGACATTGACTCGTCACTGTACACGCCTTTTCCAAACAGGAAAAAATGCGATAAGAATATATAATGAGAAAAAATATTAAAAAAATAGCGTGATCTCTACAAAATTTTATTCAGATTTTAATGCAAAGATAATTATCTCAAAAGAAAAATACCATTTTTCTACCTTTTAATTACACATTAGCTATTTAAGAGTCGTTATGTATCTTAAAACTGCCAATAAAGAAAAGGCAGAGGAAGCATTTACCAAAATTTCACATAAGTCATACTTTTCTGAATAATAATTTTTAAGATTCATAAATATTTATTACTCCTGTCTTTTCAAGAATATAGACAAATTAAAAAATTAAGAAATTCAATACACTGTTTTTTCCTTTATTACCGGAATATCTTTATTGCTTTATATTCCTGTTTTAAATTCCGTCCATACTATACGAATTTACAAATATTACCAAGAGTTAGCATTTAAATTCAGAAAAACTCTTAATTACTTATAAGAAAAAACTGCGAATTAATTGGTATCAAAGTGTCATAAAGTACTGTATATAAATATTTCAATTTACAGAATGGTTATTACTATTTTTTTTATAAAAAGAAACAGTTATTTTAGCAATAATAACATAATATCCTGCCGATAGTTAGCTGAAAGAAATAACAAGCGATTTTAATTTAAAAAATTTTTGAACCCTACTACACTAAAAAAAAGTTTATAATCAGGTAGCATAAGTTGGTTGAACAGTAAGAAAAGCAAAATATACACTAAGATTCACAGCATTGCGACAATTTTGTTAGTGAAGTAAATAATGCTTCTATTATCTGCTTATTTTATGTACAACAACAGATAATTAATTCAAGAAACTATAATAAATTTATATATATATATATATATATATATGAGGTAAAAGAGCGGTACAAAAGTTAAATTTTAATTTAGGTTATTATCTGCCAAATAGCAGTTATAATTCTTGTGAATGCATATCGGGAAGATGAGAAAGTAAATTGTGCATCAGAAAAGAATTTATCATGAAACTTTTTAACATAACGAAACGTTAAGGGAATTTGAAAATACATTTCCCCCCTCTAACTATATATATAGCACATATATTCAAGCATAACATCAAATACTCATTTTCCCCCTCTCACTATATATGTAGCACATATATTCAAGCATAACATCAAATACTCATGTAGTGATTGAAACTGCAATTCTAAATAAGTACATATTAAATTATTTTTTATTCAAATACAATTAACTCTACTAAGTTCCAAATTTCAATATCGTTCGTTGGAAACATTTAGAGAAACAATTTATTTTGTATTTTCATTTTAGTTCATTTTATTTTAAAACAGATCTTACATGCTTGTAATTTAGTGAAGTTTCAAAAATCTTCGGCAAAAGTCTTCAAGCTAATGCTAAACTTTCAAAACATGGAATGTAATGGATTTTTATTTAAATGTTTGTATCCATTAAGGTATAGCAGTTTGGTAATAATTAGTCCAAAGGGATTTGAATCCCGAAGGACTATTAGTTTCGTTTTGGCATTTTGCGTCAGACTCATAAATGTCGGTTCACTTTTCAAACTGTTACCACAAAATGTTAGAGTCCTGCATTATATTTGAAGAAATTAAATAATGAAAAATCTGCATAAATGTATGTATATTTCTCGTATTGTCATAAAATAACGGTACATAGAGTCATCGAATTTTGAATAACGTAATCCTCCAACGAATATGAGCATGTGGAAGACCAAATTTGAAATTTGAAATTGTTTTTATGATCGATTTCCTATTTTTTAAAACTTTGACGAATTTTTGATTAACAAACTCAAGGATTTCAAAGCGAGCAATGGCAACGTTGTGCAGAAAAAACATTTTTATCTCCAGCGCGTGAGTCTCTGTATCGGAAATTCTAAAGATATGCTCGTTTTAAAACTATTTTGCGATATTGCTGTTGCACTGGATCTTATGGTTTAAGTGCGAGGAACATGATATTTAATAAAGAAAGGTAACACACAAAATGTTAAAAAACGCCCCTTTGAACGTAATTTAAAATCTGAAACATTTCAGATTTTTTTTTTTCATGTTTTAAACTTTTTAAAAGCCTTTAGTTTTGTACTATGGAATAATTATTGCAATTTAATTCATTCTGAACTCTTCACTTATTTGCATTTAATCAATAAATCAAATAACAAAACACAGATAAACAAACGGTCTTCTTCTTAATTATGTGTTATTTATAAACAAATAGTGGTGGATAATTGCTGTGTTTTTATCTGTAAATAAAATAAAATATGCAATCGCATTTAGTTTGCACAAAGAGCAAATATCCGTTACAGAGCAGAATGCTATTTCGTTAAATAGCCATTGACACTAACTGCTAATAAATTATTTTTGCTCTCAGATGTTAAGTCTAGGGGATAGTTAACGTTAGATATCCCGGATGCTTTACCTTACATCTGAATACTATGCCATTTAGAACTGTAAACGACATCTGTTTGTATAACTAGAAACGTGACGAAATCATATTATATCACATTAACAGATATGTTATTAAGTCTGCTGTCGTAAATACAAATCTTTGCATGACCCAAAAAGGATACATGCCGGCAAAAATAAAAACATAATTATATAATTAGATCTTCGACTATGAATACATTAGGTACATTACTTTGTGATGCATATTATCGAAGCTTGATGTATGTTTGTTAAAATTACGATGAGATGTTCCTAAATAAAATACTGCAAGACCAAACACGCGCCTGTTCCAATTACTGTTGTTTCGTGGCCATTCTTATCTTGAAGGCACGAACGGAACAGGTACATGAAATTGCTTTAATTGATTGTGTTTTCATTATCATGATATTGAAATTTGTGTATTAACATAGCAACACTTTTGTGCAATTTGAAAATCGCTGGAAGTACCTGAAACAGGGTTTTATGTTTTTTCCTGTATTTGCAATTATTTGAGAGAGGAGGAATCTATACATATAATAAAAGAGTCTGATGGTGTGTGTGACTTTCGTTCGCGCTGCGTGTAAGCTAATAGACCCACGGCTAAGAAATTTGGTACATAGGTGCATGTAGACAAGAGCCAGTGCACTTCGAAGCGATGTTTCCGAAATTCGAATTAGCATTTTTTTTTTTTAATTTTATGTTCTGTGACGAAATTGCGTTTTTTGAGACATAATGGGCTATAGGAAAGCGAGATTTTACTCTACACACTCCATTTTCACATTGTCATGAAACG